GTTTTAGGTGTGGTTGTTAATAACTGTGAGTTTGCTGTCCTTTCACTGTTCATCTTTTTTATCTTCTTTTTCTTAGGTAAGTCCTTTTAACATTTCATATAATAAGGGCTTGGTGATAATGATCTCCTTGAATTTGACCTTATCTGAGAAGCACTGTATCTGCCCTTCCACTCTAAATGAAAGCTTTGCTGGATAGAGCAATCTTGGATGTAGGTCTTTGGTTTTCATGACTTGGAATACTTCTTTCCAACCCTTTCTTGACTGTAAGGTCTCTTTTGAGAAATCAGCTGACAGTCTGATGGGAACTCCTTTGTAGGTGACTGTCCCCTTATCTCTTGCTGCTTCTAGGATTCTCTCCTTCATTTTAATCTTGGCTAATGTAATGATGATGTGCCTTGGTGTGTTCCTTCTTGGGTCCACCTTCTTTGGGACTTTCTGAGCTTCCTGGATCTCCTGGAAGTCTATTGCCTTTGCCAGATTGGGGAAATTCTCCTTTATTATTTGTTCAACACCTCTGATGTTTAATTCCTGGCCTGCCTTCAGCAAGATTCCTATTAGGTGGGTTCAGCAAGAGTCCCCCCACCCCTGAGGCCTCCTCTTAGTCATATTCCATCCACTGACCGACCCCCTCTCATTCTGCTCCTTGCCTATCTTTGCTGTATTCAGAGTTGAGCCTGATCTCTTCCCCCTATTGCGGTAGTCTTAAAATCTATGGCAAGAATCCTGAGTAAGTTTAACAAGTGTTAGAATATTTTTTTCTTTCACAAGACTCAGTTGTTAATCAATCAATGAATGCATAAATGAGCACAACAAATCAGTATTTCTCTCTTTCTAAAATCAATACATTAAAAAATTTTTTTTAAAGACACAGTGGTCAATGGAGCATCCTGGCAAGAGGGGGGAGGGAGGGAGGAGTGAGAGATCTGGGCATTCGTTCCCCCAGCTTCCCCCTGGAGGATCCATCACTCAAGTGAAGGTCTTAGCTCCTCTCAGGAGGCCCCTCTCTCTGCCATAAACTGCTCCCCCTCTTGCCCCTTCAGGTTGAAGGGTGGTAAGGGAGCCTCATTATTATTACCAGCCCTAGAGACACAGCACTATTCTTATCCCTGTGGTTTTTCATCACTTTGTGAGTTATTAAACACTCCTCAAAGTATCCTGATTTGAGGATGCCATCTGTTTCCTGCTGGGTCTCCCTAATACAGACATCACCTCTGCAGACTTGTTTCTATAAAGGCTATTAGGTCTTTCTAAGAAAGGAAAGCTGGTTACAAAATGCAGCCGCCTTTCCATGTGAGGGACTTAGTGACTTCGACAGGCTGACCTGGTTAAGCTGCCACTTCTCCCTCCTCTAGCTATCTTCCTAATCGTAGTAACAGAGCATTTTCTGAAACACACAGTTTCCAAGGAGAATCTCTAAGTATCAATAGGAATTATTTTAACCCTGCAGAGGTTGTGGTAAAAAAATCACAGCATAGGTCACATGTATCTGAGAGATACATTCATTACTAGTATGTGCTGAAATGTAAAAAAAAAAAAAAACCCTGCAAATTTGCATTTATTATATTTATACAATAAATTACCTGATTTTTATTTATTTTCAGTTACAATCTAGAAATTATTGAAGAAATAGAAAAACATGGGTTGCAGGCCAGTTCCCTGCAGCGGATGCACTAGAGGCAGCGACACATTGATGTTTCTCTCCATCTCTCCTTCCCCTCCAAAGATAAATAAATAAAATCTTAAAAAAAAAAAAGAAATAGAAAAACAAAGAATAAAAATTTTTCTTTTCAAATAACGAAATATGGATATTGCTAACAAATACAGCCCAAAAATGTTAACATTAATTAATCAAAATCTTTAATAACTGACTTTGCAAAACCTTTGTAACAGTCATCACAAACAATATTGCTATATTCAAGGTACAAATGCCTTTCACAATACTTGCAAAAATATTTTGATAAGCACTCTAGTAGCATTTGCTGTTCTTCATCTCTCTTTTTTTTTTTTTTTAAGATTTATTTATTCATTAGAGAGGGGGCACAGTTCAGGCATGTGCCCTGACTGGGAACTGAACCACGATCATGTGGTTCGCAGGCCCGTGCTCAATCCACTGAGCTATACCAGCCAGGGCCAGCCATTTTCAATGGTAAATAAAAAGAACACGCACGCCCTGGCTGGTGTAGCTCAGTGGATTGAGCGCGGGCCTGCGAACCAGACAATCGCGGTTCGATTCCCAGTCAGGGCACATGCCTGGGTTGCAGGCCGGTTCCCTGCAGGCCAGTTCCCAGCAGGGGACACACAAGAGGCAACCATACATTGATGTTTCTCTCCCTCTCTCCTTCCCTCCCCTTCTAAAGATAAATAAATAAAATCTTTAAAAAAAAATTGTAACATTAAAAAAAAAGAGAGAGGAAACAGTGACATAGAAAATAAAAAATGCACTTATAAAAATAAAAAAATAAAAAGAACACACACAACATTGACTTCTAAGTTCACACGCACACACACATGCACACACTAACTACACCAACACTAACTTTGGAGTTCACGTTATCTCTTAGATACAATTTACTATCACATATCACACACCCTTACAAAACATGTGTTATAATAAAAATGATGGCTTAAACATCATGGGTAAGCATTAGTCACGTACAAACGTGTAGCTGGTCATGACCTCGAACCTATGCACCTGATATATGTAACAATATTCAAGGAAAGAACTTGTTTGTATCTCTCAGATCAGCCAAGACCTCTGCAGGGTTAAGAAAGCCAAGGAGGCTAGAAGTGAAAATTGTGCTAGATGAAACTGTTAGAAATCCAAGGCCGAAGAACATTTTGCTTTACGTCTATCGGACACTTAATCTACAGGTAACTTTCACTGTAACATTTTCAATAAATGCAAGAGACATTATTTACTAATACCAGATACAAGCCTGGTAACTCAAGTAAAGGCCTAAGAGACTAATTCCATATGTAGTACAGAGTAGTATTTTTTCAAATTCAGATTGTAATAGATTGTGACTTCAATTCGGGGAGTCCTAACATTTCAAAAAATTACACATACTCAATGTAATGTAAGACAGAAAAATCAAAGTTCATCATGTATAGTAAAGGAAAATATTATTTACCAACTTTTCATTTCACTTCTTTACACACCTATATTCATGGGTGTACTAGGACACACTGTGAAATGTTTTCCTGACTATGAGCGGCAGTCAGTGAAGTCTGCAGGCTGCTGGGCTGAAGTGAATCCCTTTCGAACAATATAATGATTATAAGGCCAAAAACACGTTGTTTCAGCCTACAACCTCACTTTTTAAAAATCTCAACCCTCATTCAAAATATAGTTTATTTTGTGAAAAGCACATCGACAAGTGAAATAAAAGTGTTATGAAACAATATTTACTCTTACTATGTGATGCACTATAAAATTTTAATTTGATTTCACTTCTTGTAAATGATGATTGCAAACCACAGCTTAGAAACTTCTGAGCCAACTTCTGGAGAACTCTGTTCACATTACCCTTGTCCTTCCACCACTGCCTTCCTTGGTGTTTACATCACCTGCACTGTGGTAGCAAGGATTCAATCCCTTTCATTTTTTTGGCTCCTGTGTAACTACTACATGAGTTCTGCCACCGAGTGGCTTCAGAGGACAAGAAATACTTGGACTGAGAAGCAACTAAAGAGCATGGAGCCGAGGTGGACATCACTCCAGCTGCCTGTCCCTGCACTCACGGCCACGGCACTGCCTGAGAGCAGCCCCTCATGAAAGCACCTGCAGCTCGCTGCCTGAGGACTGAGGACTGAGGACAGGCGGAAGCAGCTGAGCCAGTGAAGGATAAACATCCCAGCCTCCTTGCCTTGGTTATGTTCTTCACTGCCTCCCTGAATTTCCCAGCGGGGCTGAGTACCAGCCACCACCAGCAGTTACCTGCAAACCCTACGCTGGCTTCCTTCCCACTTTTCACCTCCCAACTGGGGCTTCCTGGAATCACCTTTCACATTAACGACTTGCACTCACTCAAACCTTTGTCTCAGGGTCTGCTTCCAGGTAAATACAACTCTGGTGAGCACACCAGTGTAACAAAGTGTTATTTAGAGCCAGGGCTGCAGAGATGAAAAAGGCCTATCCTAGACAAGCTCATAACTGATAGAAAAACCAATGATTTTTTTTCAATGTAAAAAAAAAAACTTTACAGTTCAAAGCAATGACATAAGTATGCTTGGGGAGGGAAGGAAGAAGTGGCAAACTCTGACAGAAAGGTCAAGAAGTCCCTGTAGGTGACCTTTCTCCCCTAAACACCTCAAGGACACAGAGTTCCCCATGGGAGCCAGCAGGTGATCTGTGCTACCTACAGGGCGTGGTCCACATTCACTTCTCTGCAGGCTAGTGCCCTGGCTTCCGTATTTACTGTGAGGCTTTACGTCTCACACATAAGCTAAGAAGAAAGGGATTTTTATTTTCTCCAAAGAGAAAGAATTCTATTCTAGTCTTCAGCTAAAAATAACTCAAGTAATACGGAAAATATGAAAGAAGACTATGAAGTTCCTGAAAATGTGTTATAGAATTATCTGTGAATCAGCTTTGACCTTATTATGTTCCTTAGAGGTCCCCGGGGGATGGGAGTACTCAACCCGAATCTTCATCAGACGTTCTGAAGAACTGCTGAAATTTTCATTTACAAATTATTTCTTAGATGTAAGGTTTACTATGTGATCAGCCCTGTGATCGGCACTGTAAATCAGCACCTTTTTCAGGTTGATATAAAATGAGAGACCTTTGGCTAATTTCCCTTTGCATTTTCCACTTGGCAACTATTTCAGCAAAGGCAGGGCAGCAGCATGATTTCGTCTCTCAGGACAGGAGCCATGACAGCTGCAGTTAAGGTGACAGCTGCAGTTAAGGTGACAGCTGCAGTTAAGGTACGTACTCCTACCGACAGCAGCTTCTTCAGTGTGCCAGGGACACTTGGGCCTGGGCCTAGAATACTCACCCTGACCCAGCAGGGAGTGACGGCAGAGCTGAAGGCACGTTAGCCTGTGGTTTTTCTTGATCATTTTGCTTGAAGAAGGATTTGGCCTCTTTAGATGTAGCATCCACTTCCTTAGTCACCCTGTGCCAAGGAAGGAGATATTAAGTTTACAAAAGGAATACAAAGACAGAAACAAAATCGAAAAAAAAACCGGAATGAATGAAAACAAGGAAAATACCTACTGGGCCTTCAATAAGTTCTGGCTGCTGAGCTTTATGATTTCAAGTTTACTATAACAGTTCCAGATAAGGACATTTTCCCTCGCTAAATGAAATGATAATGCATGTAAGTTCCATCTCTCTAAAATCCCCCCCATTATTTTTGTCAGTATGAAACACCGCGGTAGTCACTACTGAATCACACACAGCCCTCCTGGGCTACTGGTGTGAAGGCTGGGAAAGGCCCTCCCACTGCACCTCACGTGTAGATTTGGACACACCCTGAAAGGCCCAGTACAAGTTGGAGTGGGGAGATGGAATATTGGGAGGAAAACACGGGTGTTATTTCAAAGAGAAAAGCAACAGTATAAACAATTAGAAACACTCTGTAGAAAATTCCCATTCTATACCCAAAACAAACCAAAAATGAAACAAGATCCCTGAAAACTGGCTAATTCAGCACTCATTTGGGAATGGACAAAAACTTTAATTGAGAATTCTGCCAACTTGAGATCTGCAAAAATTGCCCTCAATAAAATTGATGATCAAATAAGGAGTGAATAAGGATATTTATGGTACTTAAATTTTCAGATAAAAAAAGAGAAATGTCTAATGCCTGCCTAGTCTTGCCAACTCAACAAAAACATGAGGAATTTTCTTTAAATTCCAATCTATTAGTAGGAGGGTCAAAAATTATAGTCACTGTATTATGGATGTTCAGCCAGCTGATCCAGAATAAGACTGGCCAAGAAAAATGACAGATGAATCCTGTACATTCCACCTTTGCAGGCAGGTAAGCCTCTCTCTTCTCTCCTTACTTCTAGGCTTCCAAAACCAAATTTTCTTATCGAGAGCCATGTCACTCCTGCACTCAGTACAGTGTCACCCACAAAAGTGACAGAATAAAATGTGAGAGTTTTGTATTAAGAACCTGTACTTAGAAGGCCAAGTTAATCTCAAAGGGGGACTTAAAAAACAAACAAAAAACTGTCAGTCTCCTGCTCAAGCTCTTGTCTTGTGATGGCTCAGTGCTACCCAGAGAATCCAACGTAAGCTGCTGAACCCTGCCTTCACAACCCTCTAAAATCCAGACCCACTTTCTCTCACGTTTAATTTGTGTGTCTCTCACTCTCCCACATGAACCTCTCAATAGTAAGAGTCAAGCCCTGGCAGGTGTAGCTCAGTGGATTGAGCAAGGGTCTATGAATCAAAGGATCGCGGTTCAATTCCCAGTCAGGGCACATGCCTGGGTTGCAGGCCAGTTCCCAGCAGGGGACGCATGAGAGGCAACCATACACTGATATTTCTCTCCCTCTCTCCTTCCCTTCCCCTCTAAAAATAAATAAATAAAATCTTAAAAAAAAAGAGTAAAGAGTCAAAAATAAAAGCATCTGCATGATGGATGAAACCATCATTCAGCAAACATTCCTTCCCTCTTGACCAAGAAGATAATTTCCCCACCCCACTGATATCAAGCTTGGACATGCGACTTGTTTCAGTGGTCAGACACGCTAACTGATTTGACAGCAGTAGAAGTTTTGAATGTCTTTCTGTTCTTTCACGTGCCTCCTGACATCCTCTAGTGATAAAAAGAGTATGCCTCGGGCAGCTGCTCCAAGGGGGTGCAAGACGCCTGCTGCAGAGCTGAACCCCCCAGCAGCGTGGAACCGAGTCTAGATGAGCCGAGCCCCAGACAGCCAGAAACACACCAGCAACAAACAAATGCTTACTGGTGTATACCACTGAGCCCTGGGGCTGTCTATTCCACAGCGGTTCTGTAGCAAGAGCTGATATATTAAGTTCATGAGTGAGCAAAATTAGATTTTAAGGGGTTAGGTTACTTTTTCAAGACCAGCCAGATTTAAGTAGCAGTGCTGGAAAGAACCCTGCAGATGTGGGACCTGTGAAAAAGAAAATGACACGGCCTCTACCCTTAAGGGGCTCACGGTCTATGAGGGCAGCCCCCCATGAAAACCAGTCATGACAACATGTGATCTGTAGTAAGTGCCATAAAAGAAACATGGAAAAAGTGTAACTGTGGGAACCCCTCCGTCACGTCTTCGTGTCTGGTCCTATTCATCCGCACCAGGAAACGAGTTCTATAAACTGGTGCATTTCTCTCAGGGGCTCTGCTAATTGACAGAGTGATATTAGCAGGAGATTACTCAACCTAGAAGAACTCCACTTTTAACAAGCAATAAGAAGAGATTCAGCCATCAAAATATCTTCAAGTAGGAGTGGTCTAAATTGCAGACCACTCCTAATATACAAGAAGGAACCTTGACTAGAAAAGCCCCACTACTGGCTGTAGTTAATTCAAGTGCTATCGGCAGAAATTCCATGTTAAGTTCATTTTCACTTACTCAGAACTTCCTCAAAAGTCTTATTTAGGCAGAAACTTTCCATGACTGCCCTTTTCCAAAAGGTGAATCATTTAGGAAAGTTTGAGCTAATTAGCTCAGCTGGTTATGTGATAGAGAAGGATTAAAAAATACTATTTTTCCTCATTCCCCAAGGTTAATAAGCTATACATTTTTAAGTGGGGAAAATAACAAAACAAAAAGGTAAAGATCCGAAGTTTAACAATTATAATTAGAAAGAACTAAAAGACTAACTTGGTGCTATCACTACCTTATACTTACAAATTATTCCCAGTCATCACTAGCTCTTTCTCACATTTCTTAAAGATGCAGTAATGCTCTGAACTTGATATAAAGACAAAAAGAAAAAGCAGAATAATGACATACAGAGATTAAAAAATATGCTCAAATCTACATACCAAGTTTGTATCTGGTTGTCAGTTAAAATTCAGGCCTCCCAAGTTCCTACATAAGAGTTCCTTATGATATGTAAATTTAAGCATAAATAATTTAAGTAAAAAAAAATCCTGCCAAATTGCCGACTATTAACAGGGGTTTAATTTTCTTTAGAAGGCAGTTAGAGAACTTTCACTTGTCATGTTATATATCTCTGTAATGTATGTTTTTAAAATAAGCATATATTGCCCTGGCTAGTGTGACTCAGTGAATTGTCGGCCTGAGAACTGGGGTCTGGGGCCGGGGGGTGGGGGGGTGGGGTGGTGGTGGTAGTCATTGGATTCCCAGTCAGGGCACATGCCTGAGTTGTGGGCCAGGTCCCCAGTAGGGGACACGAAACAGGCAACCACACATTGATGTTTCTCTCCTCTTTCTCCTCCCCTTCCCTTCTGTCTAAAAATAAATAAATAAAACATTAAAAAAATAAAATAATCACATATTACTTTTGAATACATGAGTGTTGTATTCATGAAAAAGTGCTTCCCTACTCATCTTTGTTAGAAGAGACAGTGCTGCCCTCTTCTGACGAATCATAAAAATAGCAGGCTCCCTGAAAATGCATGCAGTATTTAAAATTACTATTCATTTGTTTTAAAAGTGAAATAGAAATTTGTGTTGGACAACAACATTAATAAATAGTAATAAGTCCACAAAATTTAATTTGATCAGTAAATGTAATGATTTCTTATAGTAACAGTTACCAGCTTTTCTTACTCTCATGTAGGGCCAATGGTTAAGTTATAATAAATCTTTCTTTAGATATCCTATATGACACATGGAAAATAATGCAAGCCAAGAAAAATTTCTGAAAATTTTAAACCCAGCCCTGGCTGGTGTAGCTCAGTGGATTGAGCGCCCGCCTGCGAACCACATGATCGCAGTTCGATTCCCAGGCAGGGCACATGCCTGGGTTGCAGGCCAGCTCCCAGCAGGGGATTCATGAGTGTTAACCATACAATAAGTAAAATCTTTAAAAAAATAAATAAAAATACAAATAAAAATTTTAAATCCTTTTATTTCCAACGGTCTATTACACATTTCTGTATTACTTTTGCAGGACTTCCCGTTACAGGTTTATCACCAGTGTTCTGCTACCCTCTACTGGACAACTTCTATCGTTTCCAGTGTGATTTCTGGTAGCAAAGTACATTATTAATTCACGTCATTAGGAATTACTCTGAAAGATGTAATTCCTACATTAAAGATGTTGCCGTAAGTGCTCTCACCACCACCAATCCTGGTTGTTACTGATGCAGCGCACTGAGGAGGACAAAACACCCACGTAGTATTTTTGTCTAAAGGGATTAATCTGACACTAATCACGAGGAAACAATTCAACAATACAAATTAAGGGACATTCTACAATACAAAAGGACTCAAAAAATATATGTCGAGAAATACAGAAAGGCTTAAAAACAGTTCTAATTCCGAGGAGGCTAAAAAAGACTAAATGTAGTGTATAATCCTGAACTGGATGTTAAGTGGAACAAGAAATAGAGTTACAAAGAACATTATTGGAATAACTGGGGGGAACCTAAACATTTATTAGAATAACTGAGTAGAATCATACATAGAACTACTTAAACAAAACTACCTGTTACTGGCCCAAGAAGAGATAGGTACAGAAGTAGTAAGTACTTAGAAATTTGTTTGCAATTTGACAGTGTCATAATATTCAAGACATGCTCAGTGGACTCACCACATGAAACAGGATGGACATCAATTACATACTGCCAAATTTGCAAGGTGCTTACAAACTATCAGTGTATTAGTCACGTGCAGTAAGACCACATTAGAATGTGGTCTAAAACCCCCAAACATGATAAACTAACACCCCAAAACATGATAAAATGTAAGCATTATTTTTTTAATTATAATTTTTTCAATTACAGTTGACATAAAATATTATTCCAGTTTCAGGTATACAGCATGGTGGTAGACATTTAACTTACAAACTGATCCCCCTGGTAAGTCTTGTACCCACCTGACACTAGACACAATTATTACAGCATTACTGACTATATTCCTCCTAAGCTGTGCTGTATATCCCTGTGACTATTTTGTAAGTACCAATTTGTATTTAATCCCTTCGCCTTTTGCACCCAGC